TTATGAAACTAACATTGGAGCTTGAATAAATTTGACTCTACATATGGTAAAGTTACAACCTCATTCATAACTAAATACTCTGTTGTATACTAAACAGGCTCTGCAGGCAGCCAAGCATAAGTCAGTAGAGCACAAATTCAACTACCGGAAATTTCTCCCTTTAACCACTGAGTGGATTTTCATTTCCAAGGACACAGTAGAAAAAGAAACATTGGATGACTATTTGAGTTATTTTTCATTCTCCCTTTAACCACATGAGAACTTATGAGCATGTCGATGACAGATAGCCTGGCATGGTTTGTGATTAACAGGGAAATGAGTCTTACAATTTGTAACATCAGCAGTAAGATGGATGGTGGTATTTAATAGCATTGCTTAGTCAATTTTTTTTGGAAAATCAAATTCATATCAATGAAGTCAGCTGGTTGTATCCACGCCACTTGAGAAATTCATAATATACATTTATCATGCATGAATTGCAGTTTTTAGTCCCTTAATATGATCTACACTATTGAATTTTTTTTCTAGCTTGCATTCTACATAGGACATGTACTTATTTCCTATGCATTACTCCCCTAACTGCTAGGCATTGCTATGTATATTGTTACTTTCCTTCCTATTGATCGTCGGTGTTCCTCTGATAATTGTCCAAAAATTAAAAACACCAAAATTATCAATTTCTATCGGTTTCACTATTTCTTTTTAGCATTGTTATAGTAGCTTCAAAATCGAGTGTGTCCTGACTGTTATGGTGTCTTTACGGATCATACATGTTCTTATTTGCAGCAAGAGTCGTGAAACAGGAGATATGATCGCTAAGGACACAGTGGAAATGCTCTGCATGTATGTGGCCACTGAAAAGGTCAGCATGGATATGACAATAGTAGGGCACATGTTCCTACCTCTTTTATGGATGAAGAAGGCGACACGACGCATGAAGATTACTCTAAACAAGTTTTCGCGCCGTTTATATTTATATATAAAGCCACAACCAAACAAGGTACATGGCCGAGCAATACAAGGTGGAGAGGTGGCCCTCTTACGAAGCCGATCTCAAGATAACCGGCATACGCAGAACTCTATGCAACCAAAAGAGAAAAAAAGAAGACCTGAACACAACACCAAACTACGCCCTAGCACACCTAAGCTCCACAACAACACTCTCATGAGGGAGAACGGCGCAAAGCTTCGCCGCTGTTGAGTCATCAACGAACAAAGGTCTTCACCCGGAGCCCAGACACAAAGAGAAGAACCACGAAGACATCTTCGAGAAGATAGCGGCACCCGCAAGTGTCACCGTCGTCGGCACCGAGGCGCAGAGCTTTCGCTCAGCAGCTCACCCATGCCACTACGAGATTCCCATGACGAGCTTGGTGAGGACAGATCCCCATATGCGGTTTGGAGCACTGCCAGTGACAAGACAGAGAGAACGCCCGAGCCGCCCGCCGCTACCCGTCCCATCGCCCACACGACCAAGAGGAGAGTCACCACCGCCGGCGATGGTTCCCGCCAGAGAGCCAACCATGCAGACCTCCACCCGGGACCACTGCCCCAGCATTCATGTCCAAGCCACTATCATCTGACCACATCACAGTGTACCCACCATGGTAGGAGGAGTAGAAGGCGTCTCTTTTCACTCCTAGCCCGGCATCAGCCACGTAGTCTGGATCTACACCTCCACCACATGAGGCGTCGACACATGTGCCTCCAACCAGTCCCGGTGGACCGGAGGAGACGCAACTCCGTGACACCAACAACTCTCTCTCTCTCCTCATGGTGATGTGTGAGTAGTTCATCCTCGGTGCCGAGGGTATGTATTAGTAGCTATGTGTTCAATCTCTCTCTCCCCCCATGTTCTTAGAAGTTTTCGATCTTGATTGTATAATGGGCTTGTTAATAAAGTTGGATCTTATGATGTTTCTCCCTCTATTCTTTTTGTGGTGGATGCCTTGATCTTTGAAAATCCTTTATGTTGGATTGAATATTTTGGGTTTGGGATTACATGATGCATGTCTAGTATAACTTGGGGATACCTGTGGTGACATTGGGGTATTCTATGCATAAAAGGTTGAATGATAGTATAACATGGTTTTGTCATAGTACAATTTTTGGGACTATCCGTGAGCCATTGAGATGGTTCAATAGATTAAGATTTGGAAGACGATGGATTGCTATTAAGTGCACCTAGGTGATTTCATCCTACTTTTTCCGATAAAAATAGAAACTTTGAAGTGATTTTTTACCGCACTTTTTGAGCGCATATCATGTTGTTTAACTATGTTAATGATGTTGAGAACTGAGACTAGTGAAAGTATGAACCTAGGACTCGTTTCCAAGCATTGAAACACCATTTTATTTACTCTTGGTACTTGTTATCTTGTTCGTATTTACCCAGATTACAAAAGGCTACTTCTACCATCCATATTACACATATATTATCATATTTCGTCGAACTAGTGCACCTATACATTTGACAATTGTATTAGGTTAACTGGAGACATTAGAGACCACTTGTATTTGATTTCAGGATTATTTGAGAGAGACCATTTTAATCCTATATCTCCATGGATTGATATATCTTAGGCCATTCATTTGAGGAAAATTTGTTTTTCTTACAAAACTCTGCTCTTAAAGACACAGCAAAGTGTACAAAAATAAAATTGTGTAGTAGAAAACAAGGGTAGAGCAATAGGTGAAGGTGTGTTGCATGTTGTGGAACTGGTGGAATCGGAGAAACAAAATAAATAAAGGGAAAGCTAGCCTGTTGATAGAGTGTCGGCATGTAGGCAACCAGGTGGGCGACGAAAACTCTACAATTGAGTACAAAAACTAGTACTCTCTCCATCCCAAATGTTTTGTCTTACATTTGTTTAGATACAGATATATCAAGTTATGTTTTAGTATTAGATACATCCGTATCTAGATAAATGTCACGTTTTAGTATTAGATACATCAATATCTAGACATCTAAGACAAGAATACATCCGTATCTAGACAAATTTACAACAAGAATTTTAGAACGAAGGAAGTATGAGGAAAGAGAAAGACATTTACGTGCATTGGAAATGACCTGAAGGTGACTTACTCAATATCAACATTGATAGGGCATATCATCCTGAGGAGCAGCAATGAGCCTGGGGATTTATGGTCCGTGATAGCGATGGATTCGTCAAGGGATCAAGTGTAGGTTGTCACAGGCGGAAGCGGTGCATTTTTGTTTTTCTTATTCTAGATGTATGATCCGTGATAGCGATGGATACGTTTGGATCGGAGGGAGTAGTAGATATGAAATTATGTGTCATGATGTATTTAATGATATGTACTCCATTTCTTATTCTAGATGTAAATAATTTTTCTAAAAACTTGATCAAATTTTGTAAAGGTTGACTTTTCAAAAAGAATATAGACACTGCATTATGGAGCAGAGGGATTATTCCGAATATGCCAATATAGAAATTTTAAAAACAACATTCATAGGAAAAAAAATCCAATTTCTGCACTTTCTTTTTAAAACATTTCTGCACTTTTGTTTTTTTGGAGGAAAAACGTTCCCAGCTGAACTGGGCCGAATTCTGCGGCCCAGCATCTGTCCCTATCTACGGGTTGCAGCCCATCCTCCTTTCTTTCTCTTCTCTTCCACCTAGGCCCTGGCCCATCTTCTCTCTCGGCCACCCCCAACCTCCTCCTCCTCCTTCTGCAGCCGCAGCCACTGCAGTGGACGTAACGCCCGGCTGCGCCGCCGCCGCTGATCCTGCCGTTTCCTCCAAATTGATCGCGTCCGGCCTCCGTCCCCGTAATTCCCCGTGCCTCGACTCCTTCAGCCTCCATCTCCAATTCCCCATGGACATGGCGACCTGCTGCCGTCTGCCGACCTGATTTGAGCGACCAACCACCACGCACTCGTCGGTTCCTCTGACCTCCTCCTCAATTCCCCTTTTCTAGGTTGGAGCCGCACGCCACCGACGCCGGGCGGCGGCAGCCCGTGCACCCGCGGCTGACGAACTGGACCTGCTCCTCTCCGTCTCTTCGATCAGAACCGCACACCCACGCCGTACTGCACGCCGCCGACGCCTGCGCCCTGGTTACAGGTTATTGCTTAGACTGCCGGCCTTTCTAATCGATGAGTTATAAGTATCTGAAAATAATTCATCACTCAAAATTGACGAGTTACAGTGCAGACTTTGATGCGTTAGTTGATACCTAGACTTGGCCACATTACAGACTTACAAACTTGATCAGTATTATTGTGGTTGATAATAAGAGAGATGTGGGTTGGAGCTTCAGCTGGATCGTTTTGTTGTGGATGATAAAAGAGATATGGCTTTTTTCGATGCATATTGTGTGTTTTAATATCTAATAACTGACCCCCCCTCCGCTTTGATTATCCTCCGCCACTGGGTTAGTGCCATCTAATCAACTGTCATTACCAGCGACGATTTTCTAAAGAAAAAACAATTACATGACGAAAGAGAACTACTACTACTTTTTTCAAAGTTATTTTTTTTGCAAAACAACTCTATTTGGTCTCCATGATAAACTTCAAAGTGGAAAAACAATTGTATGATAGATAAACTACATTTTCTTTGAAGAGTTGGTTTCTTGCTCTACTATGTTTTTTATTGTGTTCCCATGCATCAATTTTGTAATTAGCTCATGTTCTACTATAGTTAAACCACTGTGGTGTACTATTGTGCCACTCATTTTAAATCCTGTCGATATTCTTGATCAGTATTATTGTGGTTCACGCCATCATTGAGTTTTCTTTATTTGCATTGTATTTGTTCTAACGTGATTATCACTTGGTCACATAATGCGAAAATGTACCTCACACCCATCGTTTTTATAATATATATTTATCATCTCCTTTTTCAGGAGCTGATGCAAGGTGTAGGTTGTACTATGAGAAGGATGGTTGTGCACATCAAGCCTCAAATTGACCTCAATTGATTACACTAGAGCTGGTTGAATAATAATACATAATTGATTCTGGTGGTTCAAACATGGGTTCTAGATTTCCATCACATCAGCTGAGCAATGGCCTGTATGTATCTGGCCGACCTGAGCAACCTAAGGAGAAAGCCCCAACCATTAGCTCCAATTTGATGCCGTACACTCATGGTGACTTGAAGAAATCTGGAGAGTTTGGGAAGATGTTTGACCTCCATGCTGACAAGTCCAGAAAATCTGGTCCTCTGGGCAATGCGCCTTCGAGTAATACTTTATTTGGGGGTGCTGCTTCCAACTCTGGACCTGTCTCTAATGCTGGTGGCCGGTCAAACTACTCTGGTTCTCTTTCATCTTCACTTCCTGGTGCTGGAGGATCAGCAAGAGCAAAATCTAACTCCGGACCATTCAATAAGCATCGAGAACAAGCAAAGTGGTCAACCAGTCCCCAGTCTGGAGGTGTGACCCCAATGGCTCGCCAGAATTCTGGCCCTCTACCTCCAGTGCTTCCTACAACTGGGCTTATCACATCTGGCCCTCATTCTTCCGGGCCACTGAATTCGTCTGGTGCTCCAAGAAGAAAAGTATCTGGATCTCTTGATTGTGCTGCATCAATGAAGGTGCAGGCTACATCGCTTGCTCACAACCAGGCTGTTACTACTCTCACCACCGAAAGTAGTTTCTCAGTTAAGGGAAGCATTTCGAAGTTGGTACTCTGGTAAGTGATCACACTCTTGCTGATGGGGTTTGCAATAGGTCTCTTCATTCTTGTTGTTGTTTACAATGCGGTTGTGCTGATAGTTGTTGTTGTGGCAATGATTGGTTCTGTTTCCGCACTTGTGTGTTGGAATGTTTTCAGTGGCAGGAGAGGCGTGCTCGGGTTTGTCAATAGCTATCCTGATACTGATCTCATAACTGCAAAAGGTGGAGAGTATGTGAAGGTTACAGGGGTATGTGAAATGCTGCTGTTCTTGTTGGATTTATTGTTGTTATCTTCACTCTGATAAATTTCTGTTTAGTGTCAGTATTCATCCTGTTCCATTGAGCCTATGATCGTTCTGTTGCAATGTGCGCTAATGAGACTAAGCTGAACATAGTTGAGTATTACTGTTACACGATTCTTGTTTTGGTTTATGAATACATGTACCATCAGATTCAAGTTACTTACCTTTCATGTTCCTTTCTGCCGCATGTGCTTTGGACCTGTATACAAGCACATAATACATCAATATATCACCAAATTTCTGTATGTCGGTTTATTATTCATGGTAGAATTTGCATGGTAGTTATAATTGGATTCTTATAATCACTTCGTTCCACATGTAGCATAAAATCCTTTTCAGTTTTTTGGAGATTGCATATGTTAATCTACAGGTTGACAACATATTATTTTCTGTTCTGAGAAAACTTGTTACATTATTAATTAGTTACTTACCATTTACAGTAATGATCAGTATGCCAAACATCGCAGGTTGTTACGTGTGGAAATTTCCCACTGCAGTCCTCATTTCAAAGGATTCCGAGATGTGTGTACACTTCAACTAGGCTGTATGAGTATAGGGGTTGGGATTCAAAAATTGCAAACCCCAAGCATCGCCGGTTTACCTGGGGATTACAGACAGCAGAGGTGAGTTTTATTTTTTTCTGTAAGTACCTAGAAAAATGGTGTTTAAAATAAATTGATACAATGAATTACTTCCCAGTATAAAGATGTCTTTTTAAAATGTTAATATTCCAATTATATTACTTTCTTCCTAACTGGCTTTGACATTTCACCTGTGTAACTATTGCAGCGCTTTGCGGTAGATTTCTACATTTCCGATTTTCAATCTGGGCTTCGAGCATTGGTGAGAACAGGAAGTGGTGCACGGGTGACACCATATGTCGATGAACCGGTAGTAATTGACATCAATCCTGAGAACAAGGACATGTCTCCTGAATTTCTAAGATGGCTACGAGAAAGGAACCTCTCAAGTGATGGTCGGAAAATGCGCCTAAAAGAAGGGTATTATTTTCTTTATGTTGCTTTCCACCTGTATCACATAGAAATATTTAACTCTTTTCTGAAGATGTGTGCCAAAAGATATTAGTGAATCACTGTTATTTACTCAATCCCATACCGGCAGATACATCAAGGAAGGAAGCACTGTGAGTGTGATGGGGGTTGTTCAAAAGAGCGGGAGCATGTTGATGATAGTACCTCCATCGGAGCCTGTCTCATCTGGTTGCCTGTGGGGGAAGTGCCTATTCCCATCGAACCTTGACGGACTAGTCTTGAGATGTGAAGATACTTCAGACATGGATGTCATACCAGTATAGCAAGCTGAGTGTCTAGATACATCCGTATCTAGCAAATCTCAGACACGTAATGTGGATTGGAGGGAGTACTAAAGATTGAGTATGGCTGGGTAATCTGTGTTTTCACTGTATACCCCTTTCTCAATGTATTACGTCCTCTTTTGCTCATTTTTGGTTATGAGCTCTTAATACGTGTGTAATATGGTGGCATTTGGGTTGTTTGAAGACTTGTTCCCTTGGGTCTAATATATACGTATTATTTAGGATGGTTTTCTTGCACTGCTGCTAAACATCTTTCGTTTTCCATCTCTGTCCAAAACATCACACTAGCTGTGGTAATCTGTAGTAACTTGCTTAATTAGGACATGGGCTGATTTAGTGATTTGCAGTAGAAAACAACATGTTTTTTTGGCTTTCTACTCGAGGAGTTGAGGTGATTATTGTTTTTGATGCACCTAATTCAATCAAAAGAACATGTACGAATAAATCTTGACATTGTGTGTCACCGGAAGAGAAATTTATATGACACACAGATTCAATTACTTTAGTTGAGATTGAGATTTGGAGGTCTAACTACCAAAACCATAAGGCGGTGAGGACATAAAGGTCTACTGTACGAAGCAATGAAGAGTGCAGCCAAGCAAGACGCGCCATTGAGAAAATAAAAGGACAAAATTTCAAGTGGTGCTCTATTAGGACTTAGTCATAAAGATGAGATGGGGCAAATAAAAGTACAAGGATCTATATGGCATAAAACTGTGTCATTTCAGGGTCGCAGCAGAAGGGCCTTGTTGTATGAGAAGATGAGGCCAGCGAAAGAAGGCATGGACCGGCATGCGATTTTTTTTAATGGACCATTACTTAATTTGTGCGTGTCATCCTTGAGAAGGGGCAATGCTAATCTTCCCTGTATCATTCCAGTTTTATCGCATGTACCCGAAGGGACAATTCTAGCTCCTAGTGCAACTTATCTGATGGCCCTGTGAGCAAATAAATAATGAATGAGTGCTAACTATACTTGGAACCGTAGTGCATCGATCAACTTCGCTCCTTCAATGTTCAGGTCATTGCCTAGCTAGATTCCGGCCATACCCGGCACCCTGGCCCGATTTTGGCCAAGTTCATTGTCATTCAGCATCTCAGCAACCGGTCTGCATGAGGTGGGCAGTGTCCACGAATTGTACAGCAGCCGGGCGACTTGTCCAGTGTGACATCAAGGATGAAGGACCTGGTCCTGGATTTCGAGAAGTCGCTGCAAAATCTGGAACAACAATTTACATTGCTCATGCTCTTACGTGCTCACATGTTTGTGATGCATGATTGGGATGGATGGCCCAATCTGCTTTTGCAGGCTCCTGGGGTGCATAGAGTAATAGTGTTGATCGTGCTGTCTAGCGCAATCAAGACATTTTAAAACATAAAATTACCTTATCTCCCTTTGTAGGAAATCAAAGAAAATCTTGACAGCAGTGTCATACTAGAGGACAATCCTGGAATGTCCCACCAAACCCTATATGTCGTTGTAGCTCCTCCTCCAAAACAAGAGCAAAAAATATTCATAAATCTTGGCCCCACATCACGAGTACCAAGCTCCATATTGGAGTACTAACAATAATTGGTTCTTAATCGTCAACCCGGATGTTTCATGAGCAAAATTAGTATTATAGTCCTGTATTTACAAACTGTTTGGAAAATGTAAAGAAAAATATCCCCGAAGGCGTAACTATTGACATATATACTACTAGTTACAAACCTATGCTATTCACGGGGAAACACTATTTCTGATCCATCGACGGTCGACTAGTTTTCACTCTAGTAGTAGACATTTTGGAGCCTAAGCTTTTGAAAGTAGACTTCCCTTTCTTATCACTATTACTCCTCTGTTCATAAACATAAGATGTTTTAAACTTTTACTAAATCGGATGTACATAGACACGCTTTAATTGGTTTGATCATTCATTTCAATCTATCTATAATCCATATTAAAATATCCAAAATATCTTATATTTGTGAATGGAGGTAGTAGTTAATATTGCTTTTGTGTTACTCGTGGTCACTCAACTTGCATGATGCGCTAACATATCGAACTCTAAAATTGCTTGTTAAATCCACTCTACTTGGCTCATACTCACATGAGGACGGGAGTGCAGGTTCAGGTATGGTGTTACGTGGCCATGATGGGGCCATTCTCTTCTCTGCGTGTAGGTCCTTGTGGTCGTGTCCGAACACCTTGCGCGCGGAGCTCGCCGGTTGCATGGAAGGCCTAGCCCTTGCTCACCAATGGATGGAGATGCCGATCATCGTCGAGAGTGACAGTCTGCAAGCAGTACAGATGATCAATGCCCGAGGCCAAGATCGGTCTCAGTACGCCATGGTAATTTCTGAGGTGAAGCGTCTCATGGGTCTAAGGGAGTGTCGTGTTACTCATATCTCTAGAGAGCAGAATAATGTAAGTCACACGTTAGCAAACTTCGAAAGGACGGAGGATCGAACTGTGGTATGGATCCGTTGCGGTCCTGATAACATCCCTAGTCTGTGTAGGGATGAACTTGTCTGCTCTTGAGTAATATACTCCTTTTACCCCCGCAAAAAATCCACTTGACTTGGTGATGAACACCAATATGGTTCAGAACAAGCCACACATGCCCTTTTTGTTGATGTGGTCATGGAGGAGAAACTAGGAGGATCCATGCTCACTAATAGGACATCGATATGTGGGATAAACATGACAACGTTCCGATTTCTCACTAGGATGGCGTGTTCTGAACCATACGGTTCATGTTTACAAAGTTTAGTTGGTTAGGTGGGCATTTTCATGGTTGGGTGACTAAAGTTCACGCATCATGCAAGTTGAGTGGGGAGTTTTACCCATATTAATCTCACAAATCAAGACATATATGCAATTAACAAGGCCTTAATCGCACATGAGCACAATTGCCAAAGTTAATCCATCATCACAAGCATCAATTACACGTTGATCAACCTCGATTTTCCGTCGGAACATTATACGGCGTCGCTACTAGGTGAAGTTGGTTCCTTCTCCTTGTTGTAGAGCCGACGATCATGTCCATATCAAGCTCATCCGGCTTAATTCCGTCTGGGAGGCTCCAGTCAAAGTAGTACAGAAGCCGTGCAAGGAGAATCTCCAACACAGCTAGCCCAAAGGCACCGCCAGGGCACATCCTCCTCCCGCTCCCGAAAGGTATGTACATGAACTGTGTGCCGTTGTAGTCCACTGTGTTGTCCTCGAACCTCTCTGGCCTGAACTCGTTCGCGTCATTCCAATTCTCAGGGCTCCTTGCTATCGCCCATGCGTTAACCATTATCCTCGAGCCCTTCGAGACCTTGAATCCACCAATGTTGCAGGTCTCTCGACAGACACGGGGGAGCAGAAGCGGTACCACCGGGTGCAACCGCATGCCCTCCTTGATCACCATCTTTGTGTATTCCAGCTTGTCCATGTGGCCCTCATGATCTTCTGGACTCTTGTTGTCCAATGTTTGTCGCACCTCTGCTTGTGTCTTGGCCATCACCATTGGGTTTCTCATGAGCTCCGACATGATCCACTCGACCGTTGACGATGTTGTTTCCGTCCCTGCCGTGAACAAGTCCTATTGGGAAACCATGATAGTTAATTCAACTAATGGTATCAACATTAGCAAAATAGGTACATGTAAGTTGACTCAGTTTGCAATTTGTATAATTTGATCTTGTGAGAGGACGAACGGTTGGGAAAAGAAGAAAGGTGAAGGAAGAAGAAAGAAGGATTTTAATGGCCTGGAAAATTAACTTACCCAAAATATTTTTTCACTCAGATTCACCTAATTTTGGATATTGCACGCACACATTTCTCGGTGATAGTTCTAACTCTTTGAGAAACAATTGGCACAGCAGGCCAGCCTTTCAACAAGAGCATATCTTGGCAGACCCCTTCTATCCCACCGAACTATAAAATAGTCGCCAGTTTTTAGTTTTGGACGGAAAAAGTAGCCCAAACAGACCTTTTATACATCTTCGACCTTTAAATTTTTCTAAGGGATGCGGTAAAAAACTCCTTCCGATCTGTAAAAACACAGTTTTTGCATCCGGTTCAACGGTGCCTTGTATCGGAAGAAAGCACCATGGAAACTTCCGCGTCCGCCGTCCACGTCGCCCCGGATGCCGCCCCGCCCTTCCCTGAACGCCGGCAGCCCATCCGTGTCCATCGTTCGCGCCGCCCCGGTCCTCCGGCCGCATCTCTCACTACGGCGAGGGAGGAGCTAGCTAGCTCCTGGATCGATTTGAACTGAGCTAGAGCTGAGCTAGCTAGCTCTGGCTAGCCCGACGGAGGAGCTAGCTAGCTCTTGGATTGGCCGCTTCGTGCGTTTTGTATTTCGTCGCCGGTGGCTCTGTATTTGGCCGCATCGTGTGCTGTCCGTTAATTTTGTGGGAGCAAGCTAGCTGACCATGAACATAGGCGAGAGGAAGAAGAAGACGTGGGAAAAGAATATAAGTGAATATTTGATTTTACAGTTTAATTTTGAGGGGTCTGTTTGGCCGCTGCTAAAACCAACCTTTAAAACACGGTTTCTGTGAACTGAAAATTGCGTTTTCAATTTCGCAGTTTAAAGGGTCTTCTAGAGATGCTCTTACCACTATGATTGCCTTGATGTTTGTAGTGCCAATGGGGAACTCAAGCTGCCCCTCCTCTTTGATCCTAAGCATGACGCTCAGAAGATCATCGTCTCCGGTCGTTGCTGCGGTCTTCTTTTCCTGTCGCCGCGCCTCGCACCCAGCGATGATCCTGTCAAAGACGTCGTCGAGCTGCCCGCGCGCCCGCCGGAGCCGGCGTTGCAGCCCAGTGACGACGTCCACGAACCGCAGGGACGGGAAGAGGTCCCCGATGCAGAACCCGCCGCTGGTGTCGAGCACGACCCGGATCGCAGACAAGAACCGCTCTTGGAGCTCGGCGTCGCACCCGTCGCCGAACGTCGCCTTTGCGGTGATCGTGTTCGCGCAGGACACGAGAAGCTTCCCGATATTGACCGGTTCGCCGCTTCCGCCGGCGGCGGCGGCGCGGATCTTACTGACGAGGGACAGGGCCTCGCTGTCCCTGATGTGCGCGAACTGCCTCACCTTCCGTGCGCTCAGGAGCTCCGCCACGCAGAGCCTTCGCAGCGTCCTCCAGTAGGCGCCGTATGGCGCGAAGGCGATGTCAGTGTTTCCGTAGCACACGATCTCCGTGGACAGAAGGCTCGGCCGCGACGCGAAGTTGAGGTTGTCGTCCCGGAGCACCTCCTCAGCCGCCGCCGGCGAGGAGATCACGACGGTGTCGACCTGGCCCAGCCGCAGGTACATCACCGGGCCGTGCTTCCTGGCCAGGTCCCGGAGAGCGACCTGCGGCGTCTCCGTCAGGAGGTGGAGGAGGCTTCCGATGAAGGGGAGACGCCGTGGGCCGGGAGGCTGCCTCTTCCTTGAACTTGGTGTTGGTTTGCGGCCAAGCAAGGAAAAGAGAACGATCAGTGAGACGAGGGAGAGGGAGAGGAGGGTGGCCGCGCTTAGCTCCATGGAATTTGATTGCGCTGAGCAGCAAGCAAGAACGGTTGCTTGTTGCTTGGATGTGGTCAACACAAGAGATGTTCAATTGATCATGGTTCATTTTTATAGGGAACGATCTTGCTGTCCCACGAGCCACGCCCCATCCCGTCCACCCCAACCACGCACAGCACCATGCCACCTCTCCTCCCAAATGAGAGGATGTGACCATGGGCATAAATAATGGATCCCAACTTTCATGATAGTTCCTTCTTTCAAGGTTTTTTGGGGTTTTTTGTGAGATATATGGTCATCTCGACTAATATTATAAATAATGTAAAAATTCACGTGTATAAAAAGATAATGCAAAGATATCCTAATAATATTGGAATTCACAATATTCAAAAAGGCTGTAATTTAGCATTACATATAGAGAGCAAAGACAAAACTAAATACTTATTCCTTGATGTTTTTTTAAAATTCCCATACAAATTCAGAAATCTTGGGTGCATCTTCATTATTGTTGTACTTGGGTAAAAAATCGCTCCTTGTCTCCGAACCATCACGGGATTATAAGTATTATCATTGAGTAAGCAATGGTAAGTACGAAAAAGTAAGCATTGCATTGTTTGGTCTAGATTTGCATCCATCATCCATTAGGCAGACACCTTTCCATACTATTCTATTAGCGTGTCATGGTAATATTTTGCACAAGATGGTGTTTCTTTACTGTGAAAATTGTGTTTTTAGTGGTATCTTTCAACACGGGGTTTTAACTCACATAGAGGTGCAAGCGGCATCCCGCTTCACCCCGCGAAACTATCAATTAGCTCATCAATGCTACAAATTAATGCTAAATTTGTTGTGCCATTATCCACCAACCCGCGCCACTTGCATCCCTAAGTGACATGGTACACCACACATGAAATTTTTCCATGCAGATTTTGTAGCTTGCATGAACTTAGATGCCATCATCCCAACATAAAAACCTAGGCCCTTGTCTTCCCTTTCTTTCTCAGTGGAGCACTGCTATGCACACGATGGATTCATGCATGATGAACAGACGGCGGGTGACATATCCACTGGATTGCCTCATTCTATCAACTTGTATGGCTTCAAATCATGTGGTCTGCAGTTCGTGCGTGCACATATCGTGTCATATCACTTTCGTTCTCAGTGTGGTATTCAGGAGCTGAGTTTGTCTGGACAACATAAAATACTGTTAGGGTATTCCCAAAGGAGAGGTTTGCTTGTAAAAGAAGGTTGCTTAAATAATTGAACATAGCTCTAACAAAGAAAGGAAAAAGGATAACAAAAACATTTGATAAAGGAATATCACTCATCAGACAGGGTAATAACATTTTAAAATTAAACGCAATAAAGATCGTTCAAACATCATAGAAATATTGTGTCTTTAGACGTGTTGGAAATATGCCCTAGAACCAATAATGATTGTATTATTTATTTCCATGTTTATGATTAGATTTTTATATTCTATGTTATAACTGTTATGATTCTTGAATATGTCATTCAGAGAAAAACTCATAAGCACGTGTAGAGTAATAAACGATAAAACCTGATTCCTAGTCTTGCCTCTAGCACTAGATCAAGTGTTCCATGATGGTTATGTTTTCCTGATCACTGCTACGAGTTAAGCGTAACAAGGATGCCGGCAACTTTGAGAGTATGGAGTTAGAAGGACAATCATATTGAATTGACCCAACTTGTTTGTTATACTTTGAGATGTTATCGTCGGAAGTATATAGTCTATAACACGGAGAGTTGAAGTATGCTCAGTTCCTTAGACCATGAAAGTATCAAGTCACTTTATACCAGATGATGCACTTTGGTGTTGTTCCAACATTATCCGTTATAGGGTAATCATAACAGCAACTTAAGGTTCATGGAAAGTATGACAAGGGGCAAGATAGCTCAGGAGTGGCATTTGATCCTCCAATGATGGATAGATATTCTTAGGGCCCTCTTGGTGTGATGGAATCCATCTTCGTCTATCTAGACACAAGTGAAGTATTGCTCACAGGTATGCCGGAACACAACAACGAGAAAGAAGAAAAAAATCAGTAATGAGGAGACCAGTATAGTGAGCATGTGAATGACTCACGGGGATACCGATATATATCACCTCAGGTTTTGTAATGTATCGTGAAGCAAAAGGAATAGTATGTGATAACCAAAGGTTCACTCGAATATCATTTGTGTGAGTATAGGGGTCAACATGGATGTTCACAGTTCTGTTGTTGATCATTGAATGAAAGGATGTTTTGTTGATATATATATTTCACCGAACCTACAGGGTCACATGCTTAAGGGATTATGATCTGTTGAGTGATATAGGATTTAGGAACATGAGAAAATATTACCATAATAGTTTTGGTAATGGAAGAAATAGTTTTGAGAGAAATCGGAAGTGTTTTGGGGTTACCAAAAGGATCTAGGAAAGTATTGGGCAATGTTATATAGGCAAAAATAATTTTTGAGGACTTAATATAAATATGAGAGGATTCTTGTAATTACCGGGAGCTCCCTAGGATTTATTTAGGGGCTATGGGCTAATAGAATTAGCTAAAGGCCACATAGGGGACAATTAATGGGCCATATGGGCCCAATAAGAGTGGGGCGCCCTCTAGCTTGTAGGACAAGCTTTGGGGACAGATTTGGAGTTGGAGGGGGATTCCTCTCCTTGGTCGGTGCACCAAAGGGAGTTCCCCTCCCCAAGTCGGTGCTCCCCTATCCCTCCACCGATAGGTATGGTACTATTCACAATAGTTTACTATTTAATACACTATTTGGAATAGTATTTCACTATTCACAACAATATTTAATTTTGCATGTTCTAACCTGGTTATTTCTTTAATGCAGGATCTATTAAGGGCTGGCGAGGCCAACAATACGACCGACGGTGTGCGTAGTGGTGTAAAATCCTACTCAATGCTCACCATATTTTTCATTATGTTGTTTCAGATGTAGCTAGTTTCGTTTACTTGATATTTTTAATTGCAATTTTATGGGGTAAATTCCTTCAGTCTTCCCAGGCAGTTCCACCCGAAGGGAACACTTCTCTACGGCCATAAGGTTCTCATTCAAACGCCACACAAGGCTAAACAGAGAACTACCGGCAAATGTTTCTTCTATAGGATCCCTACCATAAGAACTCGTCCCACAAATTCATAAATAAAAATACCAAGTGAAACATGAAACTATATCATATTCACAACATAATTTACATATTGCTTTCCCTTTCGGGAGGTCCCCGAAGGGATAACACAAGCTAAAGGAAATCACCTTCTAACTACCTTCGTGAGCTTACAATGCACTGAATATTGTGGCTCTTATTACAGGATGAGGAACTACTACTACTGAGCAACGAGCTTGCTAGCTGAGTCATAGCTCTCTGCTCTATCAGTGGCAGGTTCTTCTCCGTCTGGTGTCTCTCCTCCTTGGCAGACGTCTTCTTTTATAGCCGCAGGAGAGGCCTTCGGGAGACTCTGATTCTTTATTTTATATGTAGTAGGATGCATGTGTGTTCTTCTAGGGTATGGATAAGAGTGAGAGATAGTGCCCGACAAGTTTCAATATTCATGAATAATATTATTGCTTTTTTCACGTGGGCATTGTCTCTCGGTGGATAATTGGCTGGCCTCTGCGTATCATCTTCGCTCTTCAGCTATGCAATTCTTCATGCGATTAGCCTTCAGATAGATAGCTTCTTCTGCCTTTAAGAATCCTTGTGCCGGTGCATGCATACATATATGTCGAAGCTCCTTACTATTCATCATTGTTTATTTATTTTATATTTTAATATTTTGTTACAGGGTCTTCCGTGCCCATATATTTGATATTTCCATATCAATATTAGGTAATATTCTAGATTTTATCAATATTTGGGTCGGGTATAGGTCCTCCGCGCCCGAATAATTGATAGCAATATCAATATATGGAATTGGGCTTTGTTCAGGCGGCTGCCCATGCCTTGCTATGTCCATATGATCGTCATCTAACAAATGAAAATCATATTTTTGATCGCATTCATTCTTTATTTCGTAAAAATAAATCCATCTATTTCTTGTCTTAATTCTTTTAATATTTCTTCCTTTAATTCTTTCTTTATTATTTTTGAAAATTCCTCAAATCTTTTATCCATCTCTCGATCTATGTATTCACTGTCTAAAGGCTCAAGCCCCTCTAGAAGGCATTTTTGATATGTTTGATATTTTGGAGACTCTTCCTTCTTTATATCCTTCGAGCTTGATGCCTCCCCCTTTGTAGGATTTGGTGAAGCAGGTATGTCTCTTCTCTTTTGGATATAGTCTTTAGATTTTGGGTCAATATAATAATTTTCTCCTAATACCTTTCTTGCCCAAAATAAGGCTTCATTTATACTATCATATTTTTTAAATGTTAGATCTTCTCCTCTTCTTTTTATGTCTATCTTCTCAATCATAATGTCTTCCCATGTCAAATATATGCCTAGTTTATTTCCATCAAACAAAATATATAATGTTTCTCCTTTTGGTATTTCAATCCTTTCTGGCTTTGGCAAATTTCTATTCATTTGGTTAAAATATTCTGCCACACTATTGAGAATTGATAACATATATCATTTTTCCTCTGTCTTGACGGTATATTGGTACCAGAAATTATCCAATATGCACCGTTGAATTTCGTCAAGCTTGATATGGGCCTTTGGCTTGAAATTGAATGTATTTGGCTGAAGTATTTTCGGCATATTTTCTTCTCCAAAGAAGTAGCATTCATCCCTGGTGGGGAATAATCCTTTCTTCATTTCTGCAAATTTGATGCTTGAGAAAATATGTCCGGTAAGGTATTATCATTTCCCTTAATATGCTCAACTTTATAACCATTCCCAGCTATGGTGTCTTCAAATAAGACCCATCTTCTGGTTGAGCTTTTGTTACTATTAATTTTATTGTGATATCGACATGTGGCTTCACAATCTGTTCGCACTGTATCCTAGATATAACCTGCATGCATTTATTGCATTCACAATCTGA